ACAGTTATATAATTCAAATATTACTCATTTTACAACAAGTCGATTATATTCAGAGCATTTCTATGCTTTTTATTGTAGTGGCACTATTTGATATAGAAGGAATAACTCATTTAAACTGATCTTAAGACTGCAACGAAAGTCGAATAAAGATAATAAAACGCTGACGAATTTGAAATCTTTGCGAATTATTAGAGCTGGGAAATTCATAGGCATTATATCGGTGTTTTCCCTAAGAAATTACTGAATGAACCTCTAAAGTTCCCGCACACCTATTGAACCCAACCCCTAATTCAAGCTCATTAATTTCAACCATTAGATAATTTAACCTTATCGATTTCTTGTTCAGGTGGCGAATAGAACAGCTCAATTAAATCGATTGAGGTTATTTCTTTTGAGGGAACCTCAATTTCTAAGTATACTTTTCACCGGCCTTTCATTCATGTTAAGTTTTAATTTATCATTTTAATTTTTTTTAATGGATTTTCTTGGAACTGTGACATTAGACTTCAAATGTTGCTACGTTGTTTTGGACGTGTTAATTCTAGCTAAATTCTGACTCATTTTAGACCTGGTAAACATCGCTTAGTGATATACTCAGAAAATTGAAGTTTCTTGATCTTGGATTAAACAAAAACAATTCTACGTATGTTTTTAAAATTTTTGATTTGAACTTATTTTAAAATACAACTTCAAGATACATTTTAAGTGAAAGAGTTCCGATGGTCTAAAAAAACTGTAATGGATCAACACCGAATGTTCACCTATTTTTTTGCTTTTCAAAAACCCAAATGGGTGTTACTATTCTGATTTAAAGTTCCAATTCGTGACTATCTGTATTTCTTTGTAGAACCCTATCGTATGACTAATCCCAGCTGATATAGGAAGTGTAAGGCCCATTATGGCTAAAACGCGATGCAGGAGCGAAGAGATTTCGAATGCGACTCACATTTTTGGCCGAGGCGGCAATTGTGGCCATAAAAAGGCCGAGCACGCCTCAAACTAAACAAAGGTATGAATTACTTTTTGGAAGGGAGTGGGTATTTTTGTTTGGGGGGTTGGTATTTAAGGGGAGGCTTTTGTTGGGCAGAGCGGAAATATTCCCACGAATCGATAATGACATTCAATAATTATTTAATAAACTGCGACCGATAAAAATGGGTTATTGAGTACTCTCTGCACAGAAAAAAAACACCGTCGATTGAAAATGCATATTGAAAATTATTTTCCTTTCTTTCCTCTTTATTCCCTATTTCGCATTTGTCTCCTGAGAATCGCTTATCAGCCAGTTTTTTTTAATGGCGCGCGCCTTGCCTGGAATATTTGAATAATTTCCTATGTTTGTTTATTTATCGCGCGGCGCAACCGCAACAGTTGAAAGAAAATAAAGGGGGTAAAGAGAGGAAAAACATTTGCAGAAAAGTGTGCAAAGCAAAGAGGCGGCAAAAACAAAACGAACGGACAGAGGCGTTACTTACATTCTCTCGCGTTCGCCGCTAACTCCAATTGGATCTCTTGCTTTCTCTGTCGCTCTTGTGCTATGCAAATTGGATTCTTGCTTGATTAAAATCTCATATATAAGAATTTAATTTTTGGCGCTTTTTTTGTTGTTATTGTTATGGCCTTTTGCGTTTTTTTTTGTTTTGCGTCGCCTGATAAAACCAGATTTGATTTTGAGTTGTTTGCGAGCCGAGAGTTGTTAAATCCGAAAATCGGTTTGTTGAGGGATTATTTTAACAACTGATTATTTTTTTTTTTTTTCGTTATTTCGCCTCGCTCTTACACACACACACATCCGCACGCGCACGCACACTTGGGCAGGTTTATTGTTTTAACGCAAAACTGCGACGTTGTTTTTTTTTTGTATTTTGCGCTCTCAGCTGGTTGGCACTTTTTTTATTTGCGCTATTTTTTTTGGTTACCGCATGAAAAGTGAAAAACTTTTGTTGCGCCTTTGACCTCTTTTCACATAGACACACGCACGCACACACAGAGGCGGTCGAGTGTGCCTCCAATTGGGAGTCCAATTGGGATTACAGCACGCAGCAACGGCGGCGGCGGCCGATTCTATATTGCATTTCCTTGATTTCTATATATTCTTTCCTCCGATTTTTTGGCTTTTGTTTTTCGCACACTAATGGGAAATCTCACCAACACACAGGCACGCACAGCGACACCGATACACCGACACACACACAGGCACGCGGGGCGGTAGATTTTTGCGGGCAACGGGATTTTACCGTTGTGCACACTCACTTCGCAGCAATCTCGGATTCTTATTTTCGTTTATTTTGCGTTTTTTATGCCCCTATTTTGCTCTGCTGCACTCTCTCACTCGCACAGAGAACAACTTATTATTGCTGCTTTTGCTGCTGCTGCTGCCTCGCTTCTTCTTCTTCGCTCATCTTCGTCGCTGTGATGATGGCTCTTCAATTTTTTCGTTTTGTTCCGAGCTTTTTCCGCTTTTTCGCGACGCCGTTTTAATCGCCCGCTTGTCGTGCACTCGTTCTGCAATTGCGCGTCGCGTTTTTCACCGTTTTTTGCACGTTTGTTTTGTTATTTTTCCACTTTTTCTCAAATCTGCTGCTGAGAACATTGCAGAGCAGTGTGACCAGGTCGAGTGTGGGCCTTCTAACCAATTATTCGCCCGCTAGGGCTGTCACCCGGTTCTCTGCGTATATCGATAGGAGTGGAAAATGTGATGACAATATTTTAGGACCTGAAAAATAATTTTATAAAATTTTCTAAAAAAAAAAAACTTTGTGATTTTTATGTAAAATACTTAAAATATAAATACAAAAACAATAATAAAATAAATCTGGCGTATTTATTGTCTTTGAAGCATAAGGATGAGTTCTCCTGCAAAGGTCACCAAAATATTTACTTATATTTATATAAGAGGAGTTGTGAAGTTAGCTAGAAAGATGATTGTTTACCTCGGTTGACTTAACCTGAAAACCGTTTCCGAAATTTAGACGCCAAAATTTAAATAATACATGTACTAAAATAAAAGATTATATCCAATTTATCGATAAGTTTCCGATAAGCTCGGGCAAATATCGGTGTTTGTCCTTGCTCAAGTACTCGGCAAGGGATTGTATCTCGGCTTTTGGCTCTCTGCCTCGGTTGGTGTCCACGCTAATAAAAAATTTTATAAACTTAAAATATAAAATATAAATTGCCATGGGGAGGATTAAACAAAATAGGTAAAACGAACACACTTAATATGCCTATGTGTTTGTGCATTCTAAAAAAATAGAATTATTTATACAACCGATTACCCTTTCAAAAATTTGTATTTGAGTTATAGAATTATACAGTTTTGTAAATATTTTCATAATTATATTAGTACACATAACTACAAGCCATTTTGTTTTAAATATACTGATATAATTGTATAAACGGTACATATATTGGATTGTAATATTTCTCTAATATTTCAAAAATAAAGCTCAAATAAAGATTATCAGATTAAAAATGTGTTTACTTTAAAATTTATATAATTTACAAGTATTAAGCGACAATCAAATAAAACAGCAATGCAATTTCATATGCCCATCAGAAGCAAAAATAAATCATCAAATATGATTTGGATTCCCTTTTCAGCATTTAAATTGCATCAACTAACACATTCCAAGGGCCTTCGTGTTCGTGTGTGTCTGGCTGTGTGTGTGTGTGTGTGTGTAAACGTCTGTTTCCCTTTCCGTTAACATTTTGTGTCTGGTTTCCGGCATTTTGTGTGCGCCATTTAAAATTGTTTTCCACGATACGAATCTGCCTAATGCTCTCTGGCGAAAATTTTCGTTTTTCGCAGACACTTAAAGCAGAAATTGGAAGCAAATTGGCGGCCTCGGGGTTACGAAGATATTTAAGGGCTAGCAAGAAAAAAGGGAAATGAAAGAGAGGGCCAAGAAGAAGGCCAAGAAGTTGGAAAAAAAGCTAGGTAAATTGTGTGCAAGCGATAGAAATCTGTTTGAATATTTCTCCTTTTTTCTCCGATTGCCATTCAGAATATTGGCCCCTTTTCTTTTGCTGTTTCCTTGTCCCTTAAACCTCTCTATTACCACTCTTTCTTCGCTGCTTTTCCTGCATTTATTCCACTTTCTTTCATAAATATTTGCGCCCTTTGTGTGCTTAATTCATTCATCAAACTGTCAAATGAATGTCAAAACTAATAGAGCCCCTTTCCCTACCCAACGTGAAAAAGGGCCACGAAAGGCAGTCGAAAAGGTGCTCAATTATTGAAATGAATTAGTGGGCGCAAGTGGGTGGGCTTAAGCGTTTTTTTTTTCTCTACTCAGTTTGTGCTTTTTGTGAAAATATTCTTCCACAATAAGTTGCATGAAAATCAATAAGTCGGTAAGCTGTCTAAACAAATTAAGGGACTTAATTATACTTAATTTCATTCCAATTTTTTCTTTTTATTGTTTGATTGGTTTTACGACCCGAAAATAAGCATTTAAATCATTATTGTTTTTATTTTTTTTGGAAAAACAATTTGGACAATTGTTTTCCAAATCATTGATTTTTAAAATCAAGTATAGAAACACAAGCTGCTGTTATATAGACCTCCATTTAGCTGAATAGCTATTACTTTTGTAAATTCCCATTATTTTAGGATCCAATTTCGCGTAACCAATTTGTTAAAGGTTTTTTGTACTCAATCATGCTCTATTACCAATTTTCGGCCATGCTCACCTGCAGCTATTATCAGTTTTATTTTCGCTTTCTGAACAGTCGCTATCTCGAGGAGTGGAGCTGTTTAATTAGACAAACAGCTCTCCGTATTTAACGCATATTAATTTTCAACTACGCCCGCTCGCTGTTTCACTTTCCGACCTTTGAACCCTGCGGCGAAATCAAAATTATCAGCGTTTTGCTTGGCTTGTTATCATCTGATATCATTTCATCGCCCCCGCATTGGGGTACTTGACTTTATATGGCAATACTTGAGCATTGATTTCTCAGATTTCAATCAGTGTTTTTTGTTTGTCTTTAGTTTTTTTCGAGTACCTTCTGCGTTTTGAATTCGGTGTGGTTCAGTCGAGCATTTATATTTTTCGGCAGCAGTAACAATTAAAACCAACGACCGATTGGAGCGGCGTTTAACGGTACATATATATAAACCAGATCCTGACCTGAACGTGTAATAAAAAGATAGCCAGCTGTGAAATTAAATTTTATTTCAAACGTTCGCTGAAACAAATATAGAAGGCAAACGAAAACTAATGAACGGAATTGGAAACAGGAAAATCTGCAACTGACAAGGGAGTCAAATAAAATTGTTTCTGTCGAATGGCAATTTAATTGTTAAAAATATATACCATTCAATTTGTATGGGCAAGAATTTATTGGTGCTATTTACATTTACTCTTTATTTAAGTGCTTCAAATAATGCAAGGTTAAGTACATTTTTTGTGGAGTTATGCTTATTTAGTTTACTATTTTGTTCTGATTGATAAATTTAATGGATAAATTAAAGAAAGTTGCTGATTCGGAACCTAAAATAATAATAATCTGTTTATATACTCACGTTTTTTTTTGGTGATCATTAAACCAAATAAATTGTATTGCTTACCAACAATTGTTAGTAATTTCTGTTAATTTTTTGTAACAACTTTCGTGTAGACGAATTTCGTTTTTACTTAAAATATATAAGAAACTATAAGGTGTACTATAAGAAAACAGAACGCTGTTATAGCGTTATAGCGTTATAGCGTATTAAAATTAATATTTAAACTATTATTTTTTTAATTAAAAATGCAAATTTCTTCAGATAATCCTAATTCAAAATTAAATTCAGGATATTGCGTTGCACTCAGTTCCTACAAAGCCATGTCTAACCATTAGAGCTTATTATCAAGTCCTAATGTTCCTGTTTTTCTGTCGAAAGTTGTTTTCTTTTTTATTTTTTGCTTTCTGTTTGTTTTGCGGGCCACAAAGAGAAAATAGCAGTTCCTGATAGACAATCGAGTGTGGGTTCAAAAATGGGAAGTGCACTAGTGGAACGACGCAGCTTTTCCTTTTGCAATGTTTTCCTCGTGTTGCCTGTGTATATACGCTCGTTTTCCCTGCCACACATCCTTTCAACAGTTGCTCCTTTTCATTCCGTTTTCCGCCACTCATTAAATTGCGCGTTAAGCGAGAAAAGAGCAAAAGTGAATGGTGGTAATGCACTCTTTAAGCTGCTTAATTGTTGCCAAATACTTGGAGAGTTTACTGCAATCAAAGGAAGAAAGCATTGAATGTGTTCAAGAAATTCAACGTTTAAGTGTGCCTTATTTATAACTTATAAAATTTATGTAAATTGTAGTTCTAAACCGTGAAATTCTGAAAAGTTGTGGTAGAGAAATGTTCTTAGGCGGTATATATTTATTAGATCATATCTATCAACACACAAGTTATTTTTTGTTTGTTTTTGCAATTATTATTGCCATTTTATAATTCTTAGTTTTAATTTCCTAATAATTGTTATTCATATTAATGTTTATTTAAACCTTATACCTATTTATCTCAATGAAAGTACAAGTTCTTTGAAGCTTGCTATTCTATATGCAAACAGTGGAGTCTTTAACTCTTGATCCAAAAACTTAAGGCAACTTGAAGGTTGTGCGTCTCATAAATCTTTAGCCGCCGCCATTCAAATTGTTCAATTGATGGCGCACAACAATGGCTGTCGATGCGATGCCGCCTCTGATGGCCGAGTCCAAAGGATTTTCCCCATTTTTCCATTGTGCACGACTGTCTGTTTAGTGGGGGAATTGGAGCGGGATTTGTAGGCGAAGAGTTGGGACCGCTGGAGCGTTAATAAGCTCCACGACGAACACCCATAGCATGCAATCTATGCTGGTTGTCAGTCTCGTCTCGGAAAAAGTGCCAAGTCGGGGGTCAGAGACGCCAGATTGGAGTGACTTTACCAATTTGTTATGTTAAACTTGGTATAGCCCTTGGGTCGAGCAGCCCTATGCATACAAAAAAATATATATATTAGGTAACGATTATTATTAAGGAAAAAAACAAAAATGCTCTTATACAAATTTATTGGTTTATTTGTTGATTTATACCAATAATAAAAGTTGCGGGAGCAATATATTCAAGTCATAAATATTAATTCCGAATCAGGATGTAAATTTGTGTAGATTTTAAGCTAATTGAGTTTAATGACGCATATTCAGAAGTGCTTATACTCAATGGAGAGCATTAAATTATAAAGCCGTAATTAATATCTAGTGCGTAAATTTATTAATCTACAAGAACACATGATATATTCCAAAAAGACTGTTTCTGTATGTAGAAAAATAATTCAAAATAATTTGTTTTATTATGTGATGACAACTTTTTTATATCAAGAAAAATAATAATTTTAAAAATAATTTTAGAGTAACCAAAGAGGGTTTAAAGCTTCTGCAGAACATTCCACCCTTAGCTTGCCTTTCATATAAACTGACGGAATAAAGGCCAGACAACGGCCAAGTGATGGAAACTGTTGGCCCACTCGATCCTTTTGTTTTGTATTTTTTTCACTCCAACCGAGATCGTGCTTCTTCACACAATGGTCTCTGTAGGAAGCCCTTCATTGTATTAATAACTGCCTGATGCCGCCTGAATTGAAAGCCAATTTTCTAATCCTTCGTTGCAGCGCAGGATGGCGGAAATCAGAAGGAGTTCTCAGCCGCGGCTGCAACTATATATATTCCTCAACCTGCTGGCAACGGTGTTTGCTTCATTTCCAGGAGGACAAGCAGGAGCAGCAGAAGGTGAATCAAGGATGGATGTTCTAGGACTAACACCGGGCCAAAAAGTCCTGGCTGCAGTGCCCGCATCAGGTAAGAGTCGTTAGTCATCAGTGATGCAAGCTTGCCTACTTAAGTGTTCAGACCTTATACAAATTTGGCTAAGAGATAAATATCACAAATTAAAAAAATCTTTAATTATAAAATTCATTAAGCATTTTATACAAAAAATTAAAGGGTATTTAATTAAAAATAATAGTTTTAAATCCAAAAATAGACCTAGTTTTCTTTTAATCTTCTCCTTAAATGACGTTTTATCACTTCTGAAAACAATTTGAATGTATATTTCTAACTCTGATTAACTTTAAGACTTGGCAACACTGTCTTGCCGTTTGTGACTCTATTCCTCTCTTGTTTTTCCAATTAGCTTTGTTTATCACGCATACGCACTGTGGTCTTCGTTGGAGTACCAGGTGGAGTGGGATTCAAGGGTGGCGAGGAGTATGTCGAGAGGAAATGTCAACGAATTCTTAATTGCTATTTCGTTTTCCACCTACACTTAGTTGCGCCAGCTTGCAATCTGCGTTCTTGTCCCTTTACCATTCCTATTCCGCCGAGAACCCGAAAATAACTCAAGTGTCACTGGATCTAAGCTTACCGTGGCGCTTCAAGAAGCTGAGAACTGAGCGACGGGGACCTTAAAACGGCAACAGGGGGTTACGAAGGCGTTTGGGGGCGTCAAAACAGTCAAGAGCAGCTGCAGCGAAACGTAGGCACTCAACCGAGCATGAATGCCACTGAAATGTGGAACCTAGCTAAGCGGGAAATTTAATATTTAACCGAAATCAGTTCTCCTAAGATACTTATTGAAATCGAAGTACCTATTAACATTATCAGAACTCACACATAGAGAGGAAAAAAAAATTGATATGAATACAGATATTAATTGAGTTAAAAAACTTTGAAAAAGTTTGAATTATTGAATTTTGCCATTGTTGCTAGGACAACTATAGAATATTGTTGTTCGATTTTTAAATCAAGGTATTTAGGTATAGTCTCACAGTGTTTTAAAGACCCTTTTAAAACTGTAATGTTTCTAACTGATAAACTAAGACACTCTATTTAAGTGTTTATATTTTCTTTTAATTGAACTTAATCTTTCATTGTCACTGGTAGCATGTTACTACTTTTCTGTTATCACTTGCCGAAGCTTTTTGTGTGACACTATTATCCGTCTTCTTCTTCAACATTTTCTCGTCATTCTTCTATTTTCTCTTGTTTTTTCCGCTGCTGCTAGTCGACAATCGCTATATCCGCTTGTTGCTTGTTCCAGTTCCCTTTAGACCTCCCACAGCCCCCATGGCTTAGTCGCATACCATATTCCATACCACACCACCCATTTCGCCCTCAGCGAATCCTTACCGCCTGCAACGTTTCCGTTGCAGCGGGCGTTGCAAGCGGAATTTGATGTCGCTGGTGTCATTTGTCACGCGTTGTCACTGCCGTCGTTTGTTTGTTTACCGATGCGATGCTCCTTGTTGTAGCTGCTCATGTTGTCAGCACAGATACTCAGGCGTACGTACACCTTGGGAAATATTACTTAAATTACTCATAATTTATTTTGCTTTTAATTGCTAGCGAACTAAAACACGAAAGCGAAATAGTAGATTTTTTTGTTTTATTCGTAGTTTTTAAAATAGAAAAACAATACATTTTGCATGATTACACAGACTTACGTCTGTTTTCACCTAAAAAATTAAAAATTTGATACTATCTACTATTTGGAAAATAAAAATTTTAAATAAAAGGATTTTTTTTTAAATTTGCTCTTCGGTTTTATGTCTTTATTGTTTTTTATGACTGTGTACTTTTTAGTTTTTTCCTGCCTAAGCGTGTGTGTGGGCCAAGTTTATTCTCGGCATCATTAAGCGCCGACGACAACACTTAACACATATTGTTGCCATCCAATGGCCGTGCTCCTCCTTGACACCGTCTGCTCGACCTCTTCCTTTTTCCGCTGGCACTCCACACAATTGAGGATAAGTAGTGCCAAATGCCGGGGAAGCCATTAAAATGCAAATTTCTAGTGGTCACGTGGTGATGCTGCATTTCAACTTGGCCCACATAAACACACAGTGAAAACAAACAGGCCGAGAACAACCGAGAACAACCCAATGACACTAACTCAACAGCAACCCACTGCATCATCGGCGACTTTCGCTTTTGTAAAAAAAAGCGTTGCCCTCACTTTGTTTTGGCCTTTCCTTTTTCGCTTTCCCATTTTGGCGCTTTCCATTTGGCCAGCTGACATTTTGGGTCAGTTGTCGCATTTGTTTTCAGTCTGCTGTTGTATTTTTTTCCCCTGCTTTTCGGCCAACTTTCAGATTTAAAATGTGTGATTTATTGCCAAGATGCAGGGGCGAACTTTTTTGCGGTGCGTTTAACATGGCGTATGATTAACGTCAACGCGGCGTATGCGTAACGCGAAATTCTGTGGGAAATGGCAGCAGCACTTAGCGACAGCTCAAAGCAGCGGAAAAAACGATACGAAACGATACGAAACGAAACGAAAAGTTCCTCGCCAAAGCGATTCTGAACTGCAGTTGGAAATTAGTTTTGAGTGACAAGCGCATAATTCGTACACAACTTAATTAAATAAGTTTGCAATCTCAAAGCGAACGAAGGTAGAAAACGATTTCAAATGAAATCTCAATAGAAAAAATGGGGATGATAACTTTATGAAGGAGCGAATCTCTTGGAATAATTGCTGGTTTTTGCGGTATAAAGTTTATTTATCTAAAAAAATGTTTCGTTAAATAAGTCTCTTTAGACTGAATTAATAGTTTTTGGTTTTATAAAATAATCAACAAAAAATGTTACTAGAAATATATTAACAAAATGTTATACAAAAATACTTTTTTATCTCTGCCTTTTCTTGAAGCTCATTAAATCGTTTAATGCCTTTAAAATTTGATACAAAAAGCTCAAGATTATAAACAAATTTATATAAACAAACCATTGCAAGGCACTTGCTAAGATAAACCATTAATCTTATCGTGAAACCTTCTTGAAATATTTTCTGAGGCTGCATTATTTGTATTAGCCCATTGAAACGGAAATTAGAGAGTCATTCGACGTTAAATGGGATCACCTTAATAAAAAAAGGAACCCTTTCAAGCGCTTTTTTCAATCAAAGGCCCTTTTTTTCCGAATTTCCCAAGTGGCTGCCAAACAATTTGATTTTGTTCGTTTGGCTTGATGATTCGACAAATGTTCAATTGATTGCCAACTAAATGACATTCGAGTCTCAGAAATTGTCTAATGACTGCAATTCGAGACGCTTATCAAAGTTTCATGTGCGCATTTGCCAATCACCTGCAGAGTGGATCACATTTCCCCCGCCACTTTTCCCCATTTCCTTTGCCGTTTTCTGGTATTCTTTGGCGATTGCACTTAACTGACAGTAAGTAGCTAGTTGAACTCAAACAAAATGCTTAGCGCACAATCTGAGAACAAAACAGTGCTCGAGGAGGCTTCAGATACTCGAGTACTTTGGGGTTTTCGGGTGGAGGCTGGGCGCTTTGGAGTGTTTTAAAATTAAATTTCTTGCTTAGCCAGACTCTTCAAAAACAGCAAGTGTAACACAGAGAAAAAAAAATTACGAAACTAAACCCCGAAAAGAAAATGAATGCTTTAAAAATTTAGCAGATAGCTTTGGATTATAATTGAGTTTATATTAATAAACTGAGGTAAAAATAATGTGTATATTAACGGCAGATTTGTTTGAAATTTGAAATAATATTTTTTGATTTTCTTTACTCAAGATTATTCGAATTTTTACTATACTTTATGTGTACAATCTAGAACTATAATATTAACTACATTTTTAATTTCATTAAAGGATTAATAATTTTGTTGACCTTTAATTTTAAAATATAGAATATTTTAAACTACGATTGCTTAGTTTCCTTTTCTCAGCTTAAGTTCAAAGCCCCTTCTTTTTTCTTGTGATTACAGCACGCACAAGTTTTTTGTTGTACCAATTAGCCTTGGCCATAAATTCAGCCGCCGGCCTGGAACCGCCGACGTTGCAGGAAGTGGAGGTGGTCGATGTGGTGGAGAACCAGGAGCAGTTCCTGCTGAGCCCGGATCCCAACTGGCTGGCCGCCATGGCCAATGAGTTTCAGGTGAGCAGCCTCTTAGCCTGGGTCCCGAAATCGGGAAGCCAGATAACTCCGGCCAACATAAATCACGCTGTTGTTGCTGCTTAACTTTTTGGATGGTGTTCATTTTTTTTTAACTTGGCCCCGGATATCTGTCAGTGCCTGTCTTGAATTTTGGCGGAATGGGGTTTTTTTTTTTGGGTTAAATGTGGAGAATTTGGAGTAGCATCTTCGGGCACGTGACCGCATGGTGGTCACGCTCCAGTGCCGCCGGATTTCATTTACAGCCAGCAGGCACGCCACGTCGCTTCCCTGGATTGAAAACAATCAGGCAGCAGCTAAAGATTTATCAGTGCCGTCAACTTCCCTCGAACCGAAGGGCAATAACCGATTAAGCCCCGAACCGAGTTTATCATTTGGTTTAGGATTACACCCACACCACATAATTGCTAGAGATTATACATCTTCACAGGCACTCAAGTTTCAATTTGGTAAACGACTTTATGGTTAACAACGATTTTTGGTTCACAATATCAAGATAAGGTGGTATGGAACGTGAGTCATTTGGGCTAACACTTAACAAACGCATCTTAAAATCTCTTTAAGCAAAAAATTTAAATGAAAATAATTCATGAAAATAAAACTCTTAAGCACTTACGTTTTTTACAAACATTTTGAATTTTTATTACTATTCAATTCGTGTTCCTTTTTTAGTAAATGATGATAATTAATTTAAATTTAAATAATCATTTCGAATCTTTTTTGCTTTTATTTAATGCTTATTCTTTTACTTTAGATTACGTTTGAAATTGAAAAGTTAAAAAATTGTGTTTTATAATAGTTTGTCACTTTGTAGAAGAGTTTTTTTTTTATTAAAAGTTCTTTTAAAACTGTGAAGCTATTTTTCATTAAGAATTTGGAATTATTTTCCTTGTTTATCCTTCGAAAAGATTTCGCAGCTAAAAGGATATCCAGCTAGACTTTTATTGCAGCAGTTTGATTGAAAATTCATATGTCCCGTAATAATCACGTCATCAACTTGAAATTGCCCCAAAAGCAAAACCAATTTCACTGGCCGAATTTTCAGCTAAGGCAGAAAAAAGCCTGGATTATGGCATGCATCAAAACTTTCTCATTAGCACTTGCATAAAGAGATGGTATCTCTTTCAAAGGATGGCCAGAATCTATGTACTGGCTAGCTATGGACTATGGACATCACTGCATGTTTTTCGAGAGTTTGTCCAAAAAATTGAAGTAACTTCCTTTAAGACCCCAGGGAACTTGGTCCTGTGAGTCGATTTTGGTTACCCCATCTTCGAATTTTTGTGTATTGCATTTTGCAATGTTGCTGCTGCTGTGGCTTGTGTTGTGGCTGGTTGGTTCGCTTTGAGACATCTGCTTTCAATTTCGCAGATTGTCTCGCACAAATAAATGCAAATTTTATGCAAAACAAACGACACTGATAGTGGGAGATATATGGTATGGTGCTGAAGAGTAGGGGAGTCTGTTTTGCTTTTTTTTGTTAGTTGTTAGTGATAAGAGCCTTTGCTTTTGCATAATAAAATATTTCACATTGTTAAGGAAAGCTTCAGTTTTTATTTGTGATTATTTTGCTAAAAGAGTTGTAAGCTCCTAAAAAACTTCTTCATTTTAAAATAATAATGTCTTATATGTAACAATGAAATTATCTTGTATCTTATCTTGTGAAACTATCTCCTTACTGTTAATACATCACAGTTAAGAAAAGAAACTTATATTTCATTGTATTTTGCAAAATGTAATTATTTTGTATAAGTATTTTGTATTGTGATTTTGCAAAATGAATTCATTTAAATGGGTTTGATTGTTAACTATTTACTATAACTTTATTTTATATATCTTAAATAATTTTGTAGTAACCCAAAATGTAATTCTAAACCTCATCATCCCCTTCTTTGTAATTAGGTTCTTGAACACACAAGGCTTTAAATTTAATACAAGATTTCGTTATTTCTGCCCAAACTAGGTTTTACTTGGATACTTTTCTGTAGCTAAAACCGCTGTTCATTAGATTGTTGGAAGGCAATCCAATACGACTGCAACCACCGACCCTGTGTTTTCTCCTGAAGACGAGCAACAAAAAATGGAAAATGTCCACTGGGGATTACTTTGCCTAATTCAACTGCAAATGAAAATTGTTTGTTCTGTAAATTCAATCTCTTGGTGTCTTGTTGACGTTGTCATTAAGCCGCTGTCTGGCTCAGCTGTTTGTCGGAGGCACTGGGCTTCCACTTGCCACCTCCCCGACCTTTTAAACCTCTCCAACCTCTCCAAACGCTCCAAGGCTAGCCTTACCATTGCCATTGAGTTCATCAAAGCGTAATCTGCACAAAATGGCGTCACTTCCTTAGCCGTGGCGCACTAAGGAAAAAACAACAAGCAAATGGCCGGGAACTTTAAGGCTAACTATGCCGGGGACTCTCTAAGCATCCGATGAACCGCCCAAGCCCTCAAAATCCCCCTCTGCTCACCTAATGGAGTCATAATTCTTCAGCTCGTTAGCAATACATGCAACGTAA